AAAGCGATTTCTTCAGTTGGTACTTCGCGGAGCGGTCGGCTGTTCTAACGCTTTCAAGTACCTTCTCCTCTTTATCGAAAAGAGCTTTGCGTTCACGTTGAGCAATAGCACGGGCGCTACCACTCAGAGAGCCAGTATAGGGGACGCTCAAATTGATAGGTCGGCCTTTTCGTGAACCCCCACTACCTCTTTGATCTAAGATACCGTCAATCTCGTCAGCTTCACACGCAAATCCCTGCTTATATTAGCATAAGCTGTGATAAATGGCTGTGATTATTACATCGGTAAGCTGCTCCCACTTATCTTGTTCGAACCCAGGCGGAGGTTCAAGTTTGATGGCTGGAACTAGGCCTTCAGGTACGTCGCCGACTTGCTCTTTCGCGACAGGCATGGCGGGGACTGTGATAATGCGCTGTTGTAAATGGGGTGTTTTCAATGTAGTAAAGAGAGTTATTAGGTGTTGGGAGTTACTGGGCGTCAGGGGCTGGAGAAATGGGTAGACAGCATTATGCTCACCTAGAAATGGTCCGTGCGCTGCTGCCTGCGCTAGCGCGAAAACGCGGAAATTACCCAAAATGATCAACACATCGATGATTCCTTCATTTTTGGGCTGTACGCATGCGCGAGCTCGGCGTTTATCACAGCAGTTTAACACGTTTGTATGATATGCTCGCTACTGATTTTGCAACAGAAATGGTTGTATGCGATCGTGAAACAGCAAATTACGTCATGCAGTCCGTGCGCTGCTGCCTTTACTAGTGCGGAAATCGGGAAATTGCCGTCGCCCAAACTTTCCAGCTACCTAACTCTTTCAGCCTACTACTTTCTTAATTGTCGACCACATTTATCACAGTAATTAATCACATACGTCGCCTACGTTCATCATCTACTCTACTACGCAATGGCAAGGACAAAACCACGGCCTAAGGTCACCGGTAAAGCCGGCCGGGGTGGTCCTGATGGCAAGACAGTTACTGGCGGCAAGCCGGCTCAGAAGGCCCTTGCTAGTAAGGCTAGACGTCAAGTAGCAGGAAAGTCTACGCGAAAGGCACCTGTAGCTGTTAAGAAGAAGCGCAAGTTTAAGGCCGGCAGTAGGTTATCACAGTCGTTTATCACAGCTATTTTCTAATTTAGCTTAGCTGTCGCATTACGGGAAATCAAGAGATACCAGAGAGGTTTTGAACTACTCTTGCGAAAACTCCCCTTTTCCCGCGTAGTGCGCGAATTTGCACAGGTGCACAAGGCCGATATCCGCTTTCAACGATCTGCAATCGAAGCTCTTCAGGAAGCTACAGAAGCTTTCTTAGTTGGTTATTTTGAGGGTATAGTCTATCTACCCTATACTATTTTTCATTTAATAACTTTTATAGACTGCAACATCAATGCTATTCACGCAAAGAGGGTTACTATTCAAGAGAAGGATTCTCAATTGGCTAGGCGCTACTTTGCGCGCGAGTTACTAGCTTTTCTCTAGATTATAAGATATATCTAGATACACGTGCTTAAATGCTAGCTGGCGAAGCCTCTGTATATTATAAATGAAACTAGTTAATGCTACACTGTGTTAATCTACTGTGATACTATATAAACTTTTCTTTTATTGAAATCTATATTATACATCTTGCAATTTTTTTACTATAACCCAACCCTAACCCATGGTCCGTGCGACCCCAACCCAACCCCAACCCAACCCTAAGCTTGGCGCTGACAAATGGGTTGGGGTTGGGTTGGGGTCGCAAAATTTCTAACCCAACCCCAACCACACCCCGACCCATTTGCCAGCGTAGTCACAGACGCCACTTCGTAGAAGAGCCTTAAACAATAAAAATGTAATTATCATCAAAAGTGTATCCGCATCAGTCCCGAAAAATCCAAGAGTAACACGTAGCAAAAGAAATATTACAAAAGCGTACTAAAGCACAATAGTGATTTACCCTTGTAACTACACAACGACCATATTAGTGAACGTGTTAGAACAAGGTCTCCTCTGGTGGTATGACTACCATAGGCGACCGAGTAGAGGTACGAAAGGTAACCCTGTATTGGATTGAACTTCACTAAGAGCTATTGTTCTATCTACTTGTTGTTATGATGATCTTAGGACGTACATGACAGATCATCATTCCGCGTCGGTCCTTCTGCTCGGGCTTACTCCACGAACCTCACCTCGCCGACCTGGACTGAACCTAACATATTCTTAACACTCCCCCTCAGGGCAGGTCCGGTCCAAGGACAACTCCTAATTGGTTCTTGAATCTCTCGAATGCGACTCGCTGCAATGGCTTTGTCATTCCATCAGCCACCATGTCTGCAGTTGGAACGTAGGCCACATCGAGTTTGCCTTGTTCTGCTAGGTCTCGGATAAAATGATAACAGACGTCGATGTGCTTTGATCTTTCGTGAAGGTGAGGGTTCTTTGTAAGTGCAATGGCACCCTGGTTGTCTCCTAGCATCTGGACCTTGTTGGTGTCTTTTCCAATGTACTTTGGGAACCCAAGATCTCTAAACATTTGAGCAATCCACTGGCCTTGCTTGCAGCATGTTGATAGTGCGATGTATTCAGATTCGCAGCTTGACGTTGCAACAGACCGTTGCTTCTTGCTAGACCATGATATTGGACCTCCGTAGAACATTGCAGTGCTCCCTGAAACGCTCTTTCGGTCTACCATGTCGCTTGCCCAGTCAGCATCAGAGTAGATGACAAATTGCGAGTGTACTCCCCCTGGTCCGTAGCGTAGCTTCAATGTCACTGTCGACCTTAGATATCGTAGCAGGTTCTTCAACGCATGGCCATGGTGTTCTGCTGGATCGCTCATGTATTGGCTTAGCTTTCCGAGGGTGAATGCAATGTCTGGACGTGTAAGAACCATAGCAAACATAAGGCTCCCTATCACTTGCTGGTATTCAGTGATGTCGATTCGGGTGTCGTTGTCAGTGGCTGGCCTAAATGAAGTGTAATCTGCAGATGGAATCTTCTTGTCTCTGTGTTGTTTGCTAGACATTCCAAACTTGTCAAGTACTGCGTGTAGGTACTGTTCTTGATCGAGGTAGATTGTGCGGCGCTTTCTGTCTCGCGTAACTCGTACTCCAAGGATCTTATGAATCTCCCCCAGGTTCTTGGTGTTGAATCTTCCAGAAAGCTTCTCGTAGAACCAATCAATTTGAGCTCGATCTTTTGCAGCAGCAGCAATGTCATCAACGTAGACGAGGATACGGAGTTGTTTTTCTTTGTGGATAAACATGCACGGGTCTGCGAGGCTTTGTACGAATCCCCATGCCAGAAGTTCTTTCTTTATCAACAAGTTCCAGTCGCGAGCAGCCTGTTTGAGTCCGTATAAGCTGCGGAGAACTCTAAGGACGTATCCTTTTTTGACTTCTACTCCTTGGGGTTGCTTAAGAAAGATCTCTTCCTTCAAGTGCGACTCTGTGAATGCATTCTTAATGTCAAAGTGGAAACATTCCAGGTTTTCCGCTGCGACAGTGGCCATAAACAGACGTAAGGTGTCCATGCGGACTGTCGGGGCAAAAGTCTCGTTGTAGTCTGTTCCGTGTGCTTGCGTAAAACCTCTTGCCACAAGGCGTGCCTTAAACCTCTCAACAGTCCCGTCGAGATTCGTTTTGACTGTAAAAACCCACTTTGAATCAACCATGTTCGCGTCTTTTGGCTTTGGAACTTCCTCCCAGGTTCGATTCTCTATTAACGCGATTATCTCTTCAAGTATTGCTGCTTTCCATTGCTTTCCATACTTTGGGTCGTTGATAGCTTGCTCGTGTGTCTGGGGGATCTGGATTCCTGCGATCTCGGTTGCTGCGAAAGCCTTCTCAGATAGTCGTGTTTGCTCTTCTGTAAGGCCAACTTGGGCTAGCATAGCTTTAACGATCTTGCTAAATCTCTCGTCCTCAACAATCTTTTCGTTAGACCTCTTCCGTTTGGCTTGTCTAGTGAAGTATCGTGGAATCTCCTTTTCTCGTACAGACTGGGTACACGGTTCTTCGGGCCCCTCTTCGTTCACAAGATTAGGAACCCGCTCATCAGATGGTGCAGTAGGAGGAATAGTAGTTAGCCTCCTTGGTCTTCCTCTGTGACGCTTCACTGGTTCATGAGTTAGCTCTGCCGAAGATGGTTCCATTAGGTTCTCGGAAACTGGTTCTATTGGTTCTGCAGGAGATGGTTCCATTGGTTCGGTAGGAGATGGTTCCATTGGTTCTGCAGGAGATGGTTCCATTCGTTCGGTAGGAGTTGGTTCCATTCGTTCGGCAGGAGATAATTCTAGATCCTTCCTAGGTCTTCCTCTTGGTTTTCGGTCTGGCATCGTATTCTGCGTTCCTTGTGGTCCAGCTGGTATGTTTCGCAGTCGTAGTTCAACTTTCCCTCCAGGGGTGTATTCGTCCACTGACAATCGGCTTGTCCTTGAGGTGTATCCAAGCTCTGGCGAATAGAACTTGAACTGCTTATTTGTTGTCTCAGAATATCCCATAAATACTCCAATTCTGCCACGGTCCACGAGCTTGTCATGTCGTTGGTCTGCTGGAATCGTTTTAGGGTTGATGTACGAATAGCATTTGCTCCCCCATACACGGATGTGGTCAATGGATGGTTTCGTTCCTGTGAATGCCTCTTCAGGACTGACTTGCTTTCCATTGATCATAGGTCCTGTGTTTGTACGGTTGCGTAGGTATGCGTCTGCTTCGACAGCTTCATCCCAAAACTCAATTGGTAAACCAGCGTCTTTCAACATTGCTCTCATATCAGCTTCAGCAGTTTGGATGTTTCGCTCGGCTGGTCCATTCTGGTGTGAGGAAGCAATTGTTGTAGGCTGAATTTCCACGCCTTGTGTAACTCTCCATTCCTCAGCTTGCTGTAGAAGTTCTGGTGCATTGTCGGTTCCAGCAGCTTTGGCTTTCTCGCCAGTTTGATGTTCTACAAAGGTCTTCCAGATTCGGAGTTCCCGTTGTGCGTCTCCCTTTTTCTTCAGCGGGATAACCCAGTTTTTCCGCGTGTAGCTATCAATAATTTGGAGGAACCACCTGTTTCCTCGTAGAGATGTTGGAAAGGGTCCAGCAATGTCAAACTGTACTAAGGCTAGCTTCGTGGCCTTGTGCTCTCTTAGCTGCTTAGGGATGCTGTTCTTCATCTTTGTCAGGGAACACACTTCGCAGATTTCAATCTTCTCTGGAACTTGAATCTTCTTCTGGAGAGTTGTAACTTCGTGGAGTTTGGCAATCTTTGTAGGTCCTAGGTGTGCGAAACGTCTGTGATACAGCAGGTATCTCTCCTTTTCATTAACCTTAAGCTCGCTCTTAACTGGTGTATGGGGTTCCGTGCCTAGGAATGCTGTCTCGTGGTATCCATCGGCAATGTGTGACACTACGTAGAGGCCGTCGTCCATAGTTGCTTTAATAATGATCTCCTTTCCTAGTTTGAAGCATAGTACGTGTGAATTGAAACGACCCTTCAGGCCTGCTGCGCAAATTCTTCTCCCTGATAACAAATTGACTCCAAGGTTAGGTACAAGCAGTACTTCTGACAACCATGTCGACGATCCGTCTTTACACACCACTTGAGCTTCTCCTTTCCAGTCTGCATATAATTCTCCCCCTCCAACCCGAACTAGTCTTCGCTTGATCTTGATCATTCGTCTAAACAATGAGGGTTGGTCAGACATGTGGGAGGAGGCGCCAGTGTCGGCAGCCCAAGTAGATGGAGAGGCCTTACCGACAATGTCTTTTGAGAGACGGCATGTCTCAATTTCCCCGGGTTCAGAGTCTGAGGTCTCGGATAATTCATCTGACTCTGAATTGACTTCTTCGGCTCCATATGCTTTGCCAGTCTTTTTGTGAGAATTCCTTTGCTTGAGTGTCTTAATAGGCGGCTTAGATGATTTCTTAGCGTCGTATTCCTTAAGGAGCTTTCGAGCTCTCTCACGTCTTGGACAGTCTCGTACGCCATGGGCTCCGTCACAAAGGAAGCATTGGACCATAAACTTAGTACCAGATTCGGAGTCAGACGATAGTGGTGAGCTCTTGTGATTTCGGCGCTTGTAAGGCGGAACATACTTCTCCGTCTTCCGGAATGCTGGGAGAGCTTTTTCGTCGGCGTCTTGCTGGTCTCGAACCTCCTTCTCTTCCAGAAACTTAAGTTTCTGTTCAACCGTAAGGTTAAGTTGGGCGTTTAAGGTGTCAATCGTAGTCTTAAATTCTTTCGGGAGTGATCTAATAAGAACGAGTAGTAGTGCAGAGTCCTTGTAAGCTCCGTTGGTGTCAGCGTCTGCTGCTACGAGTTTGCGTCGGTATTCCTTTAGCTTTTCCCATGATCCAACAATTGTGTTCCCAGGATTGAATGTGAACGTTTGAATTCTGGTCATGTAAATGTTGGCGGTTGTGGCGTCAGTTTGGGTGTACTTCTTTTGTAGGTAGGCCCAGAACTGGAAGGCAGTGTCGTATTCGTCAATAAGGGCTTGGTCATCTTCAGTAAGCGACCGAAACAAGAGATCGATTGCAGTGGCTTCATCTTCTAGGTACTTGTCTCTTTTTTCAATGTTGACGCGGATCTTAGTATGCTTGTCTGCTTCAGCAATTTCCAACTCTTCCATAGCCTCCGTTAGTTCACCGGCTATTGCTATTTGGCAGTGCTGTACCAGGTTTTTCTCGCAGACATAGAAGACTTTCTTCCCCTTAAGCTTGACCTTGTTTCGGCGGAACCAAGTATCGTGGTTTTCAGCTGTAAGTTGGGGAATCTTCCATTCTTCCTTCTCTACAGCCATCTTGTGTGTTTTGAGTTGGTGAGACTATTATGCGAGCAAGGTACGTGGTATGATGCTAAGAGTGTAGGTGATGCGGGCGATGCGGGCGATACAGGCGATGCGGGCGATGCGGGCGATCCGGGTGATATTCTGCGGGCGGTGCAGTCGTTATCGGTTCTCGGGTGTAGAGACGGTGTATTTAAGTGTGATTGCGTGTTAACCGCGTTGTACACGACTTCTTTTCTTTTCTGATTCCTTCTTGAATCTAAGTCCTTCGTGACTTGGGTGGATGTTTTGATTCCTTCTTGAATCTGAGTCCTTCGTGACTCGGGTAGGTGTTTGAAAACAATAACGTTGGGTTAGGCAACCGGGCTCATAACCTGTTAGAACAAGGTCTCCTCTGGTGGTATGACTACCATAGGCGACCGAGTAGAGGTACGAAAGGTAACCCTGTATTGGATTGAACTTCACTAAGAGCTATTGTTCTATCTACTTGTTGTTATGATGATCTTAGGACGTACATGACAGATCATCATTCCGCGTCGGTCCTTCTGCTCGGGCTTACTCCACGAACCTCACCTCGCCGACCTGGACTGAACCTAACATATTCTTAACAGAACGATATAATAGTATAACTTCGCATGCATATGTAAAGAAATCCCTTTGTAAACGCCTGCTCACTCAAAGACTCCGCCTACGCCTTCTCCATTTTCTCCTTGTGTATGTTAAGTTTGTACTTAAGTTTCTTAGCCAGCTCCTTTTTCTCCTTGTGTATCTTAAGTTTCTCCTTAAGTCTCTTAGCCAACTCCTTTTCTTTGGGACCCAGGATAGCCTTCAACTCAGGGATGCCCATCTTTTTGTTTTTGCCGCCCCTGCCACCGCGCTCAACATGGGTCCAGTAGTGGTCGCGAAGATTATCTCCCCTCGAGAAGGGCCTCTCGCAACCAGGTACCTTGCATATGTATGGCCTCTCCTTGCTATGCGTCTTGAAGTGTCGTCGTAGATGCTCGAATCGTCCAAATGTCTTCTGGCATTTTACCACCTGTCCATTTCTGGTCCATGCCATAGGGCACGCATGAAGAAGTTTTTTGGAAGTGGTAATGTTCGAGTTATCGGCGTTCTCCACCCACTTCCCCAGTTCCATGACTTCGGGTGCTGCACAGTTATTTTTGGTTGTTGAGGCTGAGGACTTCTGGGAGGCTGAGTCGTCATCGTCAGAGTCGTCATCGTCAGACTTGAAGGAGCTTTGGCTGGAACTCTTTTGGTTGTTGGCTATATCTCCGGTTTCGAAGGCTGTCTCTTGGAACCAGGAGGGCACGGAATCGACTGGTCTAGTTGTGGGGTGTGTGTGTGGAGATGCGAAACCGTCTGCATATGCTGAGTGTTGAGGTTGACCGTGATTGGGGTTGGCATGGGGAGGCATCGCATAGCTCGGTGAGTACCACGCGGTTGGTTCGGCGTAGTTGGGTCGTCAGGGTTGTTCTGTTTCGCTCTCCCAGGTAGTTTGGCCGACCGAGGTGTGTAGAACGTCCTGAAAGTGTGGTTTCACTACTGGGTACATGGCAAAAGTTTCACAAAGATATGTAGACAAATTTTCGACTTGTCTAATACGAGAGACTGTCGAGATAGGACCGCCACAATGAGGTCCCTCAAGAGCCCAGGGGTTGAAAGCGCCGACTAGAGCACTTGATGTCATGGAGTGGGGAGAGGTTTCCTGTAAGACTCCATCATACTCTGACACAGATGGGTATTGCTTTGAGGTATCCGAATCAGCCCATGGATTCCTCATGGCGGAACTGTGACAGGCTTAGCGGAGATACTGAGATTCGAGAAAGTCGACGCACTGGTGCAAGTTCAGTATGATATGCTAGTATATAGACTGAATAACGAAGACGATGTTGAAGAGTCAAGCACTTGAGGATCAGGAGTGATGGATCATGTTCTGATCGTTGCACCGGCAGGCACGAGCCGATATAATATATACCTTCCATATGAGCGAGTTATGCGACTACGCCTCGAAGCTCCGAGAAGGATGACGTTGGGATTCAGCATATGGAAGAATGCTAACGATTAATGGATGCCACCACAATCCCAAGTGCACGGTACCTGAGTGACATGGGGGGATGGTCGAAGGTGACTAATCCCCGTCAAAAGCAAGCATTATATTGGGCGAGAGCTTCGCCCCCACAATGCACAGACTAAACTCAATCCTAGCGCTTATAAGGCTATGCATAGCCTGGGCATTCACACGCAAACGTGGTTAGGAGATTCGAACTGCTGTATTTGCGTTAAATGTCAGCCAACTGTGCATTAGTCAGGGCGTACATCTATGCAATGACGTTAGAGTAGGTAAGGAAAACGTAGTGGAAATGACATGGTTGTGAACGGTCTGTAGGTACTGTGTTCCAGCTACCTAGTCCAGATGCTATTCACAGTCGAGATGAACAGAAGAAGAGAAAAGTGGGCGGCCATCGTGCTTTTGTTTGGGTTGACGCACGGCCCACGTGCTGTTGCGGAAGGAGTGATAGAAGGAAGGAAGCGACTAGGTCAGCGGCCTAGCCATGTGACCCAGGGCTCAGCCCGTTACAATGGTCGTCCGAGACAATGCTCAAGCGAGGACGAATGTGCATCATGGTGGCCAATGATGAGCTGCTATAGTCTAACACTTCTGTCTTGGAACTTGTGTCATGTGTATCCTTTCTATGCCACCAATGGTTTGCCACTGATCAGGCTGACTTTGTCCCGCGTCGAGACCGTTTTGCGACAGACCAAGGAAAACCTCCGACTAGCTGGATATCTGCCCCGTCCAAAAGATATTTGATCATATGCAGCGAGCGACCTGAAATACGTTCGTTCACGTCCGTGGTATTAAAGATCTAACTGTCGGATCGTGAGTATCGGTAGAGACGTCGGCTGCTTGACACTTCGGCCCGACTTCGGCCCACCTTGCGCAGAGCTTAGGTGTACCTTCGTAGCAGCTATGTTCGTAGAAGATCAATACCGATACCAATACCAATACCAGTCACCAGAAGAACCTCGTTGTTGTTATTCACCCGTACGATCGTACAAGGCCTACCAACACTAACAGTGTTTGTCGACTATACTTAACTTTCAATTTATATGTGCAACAAGACTTTATTAGAGCAGGGGTGAGTTGCTGTGATTAGTGATGGGGCAATAAAAAGTAACTGTTGGTAGGCCTTGTACGATCGTACGGGTGAATAACAACAACGAGGTTCTTCTGGTGACTGGTACTTTTATTCATTGTCTACGAACATAGCTGCTACGAAGGTACACCTAAGCTCTGCGCAAGGTGGGCCGAGGTCGGGCCGAAGTGTCAAGCAGCCGACGTCTCTACCGATACTCACGATCCGACAGTAACTTAACTATTTTCGGCTCCTCATCCTTAGATTCAAGGGAAATCGAGTAGAACATAACGTACTCCACCTTCCAAGGCTATCTACAGCCCCGGACGCCATGCAAGCTATTTCGAAGCATCCCCGCTACGAATGTGTAATGCTGGGAGAGCCTAACAAAAGCATATCCTAGCAAAAGTATTTTAAAAGAAGAGAGTATTTTCATTACTACATGAAAGCTCTCTATGGCAATGACAGGAATCAAACCTACTAAGTTCCAGATTGATTAAGGAAATTCTCGAGGAATGACAACCTGCACGCTTCCTATTAGACGCGCTTAAACAGAGGTAGTTCAAAAAGCTAGCACAGAAATATTTCTTCTAAGCAGCTAGAAGACATTCTCAGTCATGGTTAGGGGAGGCTAGCTCAGCGATTCAGGAAGAAGTGCCACGAGCAGCAAGCCAAGCAGATTACGGCAAAGCAATAGTTGCGAGCATTTAAGTCAACAGTACTCAATTCCTGTCAAATAATCGCACTGTAGGCAAAGTATATGTATTAGATTGTGTGTGCTGTGTGTAATCAGGATTTATTGTTCTAATAGCTACGGTGGTAGGATTGGCCCTTGCACTCTTGGCGTCAGGCTCTTCTCAACTTAACCTTACCTCGACCAGATTTCAGGCCTTAAATCTGACAATTCCATACAGACCTGGTCACTCTCGATATAATTTGTTGCGGCTCTGGCAGACTATATGACTTTCTAATGTATAAGGCGAAATTTAAGTAGCTAACTCGCATGTTCGGTTGGTAATTGGTGTTACTGACAGTCAAAAGGCGATAGGCGGTAAGGTGCACACACAAATTAGTGAAGCACATTAGAACCATAAGTAGAATTGTGCATGGACAAAATAGACGAGACTAAGAAGAGAGGCGTCAAGTAAATCACACATAGATTAGCTGACAAGGTCACGGTGACTTTAGTGTCCCTAGTTAAGACCAGACTTCGGAACAATAAAGACACTTGCGGTTTTGTTTCCTAATTAAGCATGTCTCAGATTACTCCAAGGTTCGTGCCACCCTATATTAGGAAACAAAACCGCTAGTGTCTTGATTGTTCCCAAGTCTGGTTGAGACGATAGTTAAATAGGGGGGGACAACATGAAGCGGGTAATTTGTCGTAATGGCGTTAACCTGCTGTATTCGGAGCTGTCGAGAGCCTATCATCTGCATTGCTTATCTATGTTTAGAATTCTAAGCAAGTTTTGCCCCTGGGCCACTACCAGGAAGATCTAGCAAAGGCACAATCAGTAAATGGCTTGCCGGGATGGTTTATAACAACTGAAAATGATTAAGATCGTGCGAGATATGTAGGCCCGATGTGCTCAGACGCTGTGGGCGTTTATAGGGCAAAGATGGTGAGCCGCTTACGCCGGGCTGTCAATCGCGTAAATGTCCCATCCTCGGCGATGTGCTATGAGTCGGGGAAGAGACGTTTGGACTTGTACGCATTTACCCTCGTGCATGGCGTTGGTCGAATCCTCGGGTGTACAACGACACTAAACGACAGGCTTAGGGGCTTATAGCTAGATAACGTAACTAATCCTTTGCATAATGCATAAACCTTACGTAGGCTACTTTTCTACAGATTTGGGGGGGTATTTCTCTATAGTGGTCAAAAAATTGCTACAGCGGGCCGCGGCGAACTACACAAGAGCTACCTGCATAAGTTTTGTTGCAGTTAATGCAGTCATTTAAAGTGTGTCCGCGCGAGGCAGTAATCAGAGTATTTGCTGTCTGTCTGTGTGTGTTGTCGTTGTCTGCTGGCCTTGCTACAAAGGCAGCAGCAGGGTCTATTTTACATGACGTATCACCATCACGTGACACACGTGAAACACGTGATCCGCTTCTCCTCATAACCGTCACAAGTTTTCTATACCTCTCATACGCATATATATATGTGCGTCTCCTACCTTGAGAGATTCAATAAGAGAGACTACAGCCTATGCACATGCTACAAACCACAAACGCCACAGCATCTACTCATAGAATGCAAGCAATACAAAATACACAGAAACACACTCAAAGAAGCAATACAACACAGGCCTATTACCCTTCCACTTCTCCTCCAAACAAAGACTGGCATTGAAGCTACTATAGCTTTTATTGCAAGCACTAAGATTGGCACGAGAAAATGGCACCTAGGGCAAACCACAGAACGGACAGACACTGTATAAAACTACAACACAACATTTCCTTACCTAAAAGAGCCCGCTGCTACATCTCTTTCTACTCACTAAACTGCTCTTTAGCACCTGCGCCAACAGAAGACTAGCTCTAAAATTGGACTACGCAAACTATCCCCCAAACTGTACGATAACCACTGAAACTCCATAACGACAACCTGTCAGATATAATGAGATATTGCACAAAAGTGATGGATGTTGATGATTGTGTGTCTTGTGTTCTGTCTATCGTGTTGATGTTGATGTTGATGTTGATTATGGTTTAACGCCCTATCTGTAACCTCCCATAGGGTATTCGGGCGGCACAGATGTCAATGAGCAAGCTGAGCGAGCTCAGCCAATTGGCTTGCTCAGCCAATTGAGCGGAGGCCAGCAGCTCGCTCGGCTCGCTCGGATTGGCTGAAACAGGGCTGTCAGCTCGCTCGGCTTGATGGGCTCAGTCCCGATTAGGAAAGTTATATAGAAACCTTGGTGTTGAGTTTCTCAGCTAATATCCCACTTATGTACACCGTATTTCGCGTCCATCTCCTCATCGCTGATAGCCTCCTTTACAGGCACCTCACCACTGCCAAATCCAGCTCTTATCCATCGTCGATCGCACTGTATTGCTGCTAGAAGTTGCGGAGAAATGCTGCGCCGACGGGGCTCGAGGAGGTCACCCAGCTCGCTGAATAAGCGCTCACACTCACAGCTTGAGCCTGGGATTGATAGCATGTCGATAGCAAATTTGCTAAGGCTGGGGTAGCGATCGCGGAGTCCTACCCAGTATTTTATAGGGTCGACGCCCTCGCTAGCGATCGGTTCGCTGCGTTTCCAAGCCTCATATT